GTCTCCTGCTGATAAAAGTGTTTTGGGGTAGTTTGGCTCTAATTTCTCTAACCTTGCTTGGCCAATTCCTAAGTATAGTGGGAACATGCAATTGGCTTTCTTTCATTTTAAAGGTATCTTAGTATCTTAGAAAGATTAAGCTTCCTCAGTGGGAAAAAAAAAAAAAAAAAATTCTTTTTTTCATGGACTTGAAACAGCCTAAATGACAAACAGTTACATACAAACATGGAAGAAGCTTTTTCAAGCTCTTAGCCTGGAAAATACATCTGAGTCATGGACTCTGACCTCTGCTTATCCCAAGTACCATAAAATAAAATACCTTTACGAGTTTATGTACTCTCATCTTAAATGCAGTTATACTTTTTCTTCTCCCTACTCCAGCTCTTCACATAGGAAGGCTGTCTACATCCATACTGATCTGATGAGTAGGAATCTTCTTGTAACTACCACTCTGTTTACTCCTAGCCTGTTTATACCTGTCTGTGGACTTTCCAACCATTCTGTTCTCCCTTTTCCAGGATAACTTAGAATGTTTGGGGTACTACTGAAAAAGTGTTCAAGGTTTCTATTTGAAAATAAATGCCCTGCAAGATAGGGCCTGATTCCACCATGGCTTAATACAGGAGCCAATTGGGAAGTTAGTACTAACTCACTCAAGTGTAAGAAAGCTTAAAGGTACTACTAATGCACTTCCCCCATCTACTCTCATGCTGAGCTTGAGAGCAGACATTACTCCTGACAGCACTGTGCTTCTGTACTGCTCCACCTTTCCCAGCTTACCATGCACGATCTGACTTTTTTTTTTTTTTTACTTTCCCCTTGAGAATTGTCAAAATACTTCTGATAAGATTCTCCCCACATTGATTCCCACATATCTAATTAATAATATCTAATTCATGCTTTTGCTACTGGTTTGGACAATCATGTATACTTTTATTGTTGTTTCAGCTCCCGCTCTTGTGTATCTTTAAAACATTTCTCACAATAACTGTCTTCGTCCTTTGAGCTAGAAGCAGAAAAAAGTTGATTAAAAATTGAAGAGATTTTGAACAGAAGGTCATATTACCAGCATACCTCCAGGAACAGTACAGCTGCCAACAGCACAGGTTCAAGGTTGAGCATTACGTTCCTACGGTGGGAGATACACTAATCTCTAATTCAGTCTGTGGCGTGGAGAACAAACCTGGTTTCTCCATATGAAAAATGTGTGGTCCCCTTTTCTGAAAGCTCAGGATCCACCAGTATGCCTTCTGATGTTTGCTGCAGGTCTAGCTCAAGGCCCTAGTTCTGGGTCCACCAGCTTCTTTCTATATCTCGTTTGCTAGAGGCTCTTATTTTGAGTAGCTTACAGCATTGGCTTCCACCTTTAAAGATTAGCAGGAAAGCATATCTTTAGCTGAAGCAAAAGAGGAATAGAATTAATATTTAATGGATTATGTACCTGGAATTTAACCCTGTGGTACCCGAGAATAAATATTTCTTACAAAAAGCCATCCTTTGTGAGAACTGAGAGCTGACTAGGAAGGAAATGAGTTAAACTACAGACATGACTCTCTGTGACTCAAGTCTAAATGCTAGCATCTTTAAGTGGTAAAGTGTCTATTGATTAGTTACCATCAGATCGTGCAGGCAGTTTGCCTCGCCCTTGTGCAAGTGCTCTGCAATTTTAAGAAGCAGTGGAAAGTGCTGTGTAAGGATGTGTGGAGATGAGAACTGTTCTTGACAGCATATTTAGCGCACTGGACTCGGACAGCTTTAAGCTTTCAGTGTCTGCCCAGAAATGATTCTGAATAAATAAGACTGGGATTATCCATTACACGGAGATATTTATATATATATATGTGTTTTTGTATTTTTTTTAAAAAAAAAAAAAAAGAAAAAAGTGCTTTAAACAGTAAATAGTGAAGTCTGAGCAAGATGAAGTCGAAATTCCAGATGTACATAAAACTTGATCACGGTAAGAGTATTCACTGGCTATGCTTACAACGATCTCTAGCAAAAAATGCATCTGAAATTAAAAGATTAAAGGAGAAAAGTTGGATGTGGAAATCCAGGTTTGCATATGCTTGTACAACTATTCGTAAAAACAAATGCAGATTTTTTTTGTTTGGATTTTTTTTTTGTTTGGATTATTTTGTTTTGTTTGAATAGTGCTTCAATATCATAGAATTGGTTGCATATATCTTTTTTCAAAGTATTTTAATAGTCATGTACCTTTACGGCATCAGATTTGGAAAAGGAGAAATGAGGTGAGTTAGTGTGTTAACTAACAAGCAGTTAAAGAATAAAGTTAAAGAGGGTTAGATTTTGGACAGTAGCTTGAGTGAATAAGAATTAGGACATTAAAATGAGTAATTTTTTCTTAAGGGCAGAAAAGTGGAGAAAAGGTTAATCTTCCCTTTTAGAGTGTGGTTTATGGACTATCAGCTTGAAGTTCAGACCTTTAGACTACCTTCCTGTCATGAAGGTTTTTCATATTTCAAATTACATTTTTAAGTTTGCAAGTAATGTAAATGTAGCTGTTGTGAAATACTTTGTTTATATGTTGAATGTGGGTACATTTTGGTTGCAGTGTAAATCACTTCAAGGTACTTTTGCAAGTTTACATTTACCTCTTTAAATTTCTATTATGTGATGAATCTATTCCATCATTCTCTTTTACATTGAAGAATAATACAAAATAATTCCAAACTAACCAAACAAAGGTACAAACCAAAAAATAATACTCACAATCAAAGCTCCTATGCTGGATTATGAGTCTGTTATAGAATTGTCTGATGTCTTAATTTATAACTGTTCATAGTTTATATACTGTGAATTCCATCAGCGAGAACATAGGTACCTCTTATTTTATTACCCTTGTGATGTATCCCATCTGTGCAATAATTCTGAGACATACCATGATTTTTTTAAATACATCTTTATTCATGTGGACTAATCATACTTCAAAAATATGTTGTTGAATGATTATACTATGTATGTCAAGAACTGGCATGGTGAAATGTCATATCCAGGAACAGTTTAACTGTTTGTCTTCCTCATGCATGCTATGTCAGTATTATTTAGAGCCTGTTGTCTTCTGTTTTATTGCCCTGTAACCCTACATGTAATCCTGTTCAAAGTCAACTGTGCTTACTCAGCTAACCCTCTGTAGAAATTCTTCTTCCCTGTGTTCCCTGGACTGTGTAAGGTAGCAGAGTGGCAAAAAAAAATTTTGTTAATGTTTTCATCACCTTTTTTTAAAGCGTATTTTCCCCTATATTTTTATTATATGGATTGTGCAGAAAGAAGTCAAATAGCATAATCCAACAATTTTCCGTTTTCTTTACACA